AGTTAAATACAATCTTACACAAAACAAAATTAAAGCCACGAGATCCTCTATTTTTACGTAGGGCAATAAGATCAAAGCAGACTGTAGCATTGCAACTCTACCTGTTTAGTCTGTTTTCATTTGAAGGAAGCATATTTAATGACTATGGCATTTCATGTAAATATACTGAAGTAAAATTGCAAATGTGGCAAAAATGAACATTTCATGAAATAATCAAATTTGACAAAACCATTAGATTAATAATTAAAGAATGATCAAGAATAACTTAAAGTTCCTAAGGAACCCTAAAAGAGAATGATTTAACTATTCAAGGATTAAGAAGTTGTTGGAAAACTCTTTAAGCTCTTGGCAAAATTGATCATGTTATAAAAATGTAAAATATGTCTAATAATAAGAAAAATAAAATACTTTGCAAACTCAATGCTTTGTTTAATAATTAATGTACAGTCAAACTTATACCTAAGTATTTGAAAAGAAAAGACATACTTTTGTTTCAACATTTTCTGGTGTAGTTACAGTAAATTTTAATTCCCTTTTTAAAAAGTGGACTCATTGTAAGGATCTTTAGATGGTGCCAGTGTCTTTGAATAGATCTAGTATGGTTCTAAGAGTGGATTTGGTTGTAGTTTAAAAAACATTTCACTGAAGCATAATATACATGCAAAAAGTGTGTATCAATGTACAATTAGAGTTTGCACAACTCAACTACTCAACAGTCTATACCCGATTCAGAAAAAAGAACACGGCCAACACCCAGAAGCCCCCTGGGTCTTCCTTCTGGTCACTACCCTTCCCCTCCCAAGGGTAAGCATCATCCTGATGTTTAGCAGCACAGATTGGTTTTGTGCTTCACATTAATGAATTACATAGCAAGTACTCTTTTAAGTGTTGGTTCTTTCACACAACCTTTATTAGTGTCATCATTTTATTGCCAGTCATAAAGGATTCATTTTCATTATATATATCTCCCAAGATATAGCCCACTATGTTAATATACCACAAATATACCCTTTCTAGTGCTGATGAGCACTGACTAGTACCCACTTTTGGCTGCTACATATGGACTTATGTGTCTTTGGTGAATGGATGTATTTCTGCTGGGGCTACACCTCAGAGTGGAATTGCTAGGTTCTAGGTATGTTAAGCTTTAAGGTATAAGGTATGTTAAGCTTTAGAAATGACAGTTTTCCAAAGTGTTCATAACATTATGTTTTCCATCAACCACAGTTGTGGTTGGTCTGTATCTTTTTAAACACTTAGTATTTACTTTTTCATTTTTGCCACTGTGCGGTCATTTAGTGGCTTGGTATTGTGGGTTTAACTTGCATTTCTGATGGTTAAGTAGGGCACATTTGCACGTTTATAAACCATTTGGGTATCTTTGTCTTCTATTTTTCTGCTTACTAATTATAGTTCTTTATATACATATTTTTTTTTGCATGAGTCCTCTGGTCACACACATACACAGCTAGATTCCTGGATGTCTATGTCAGTTCTATTGGTTGCCTTCCTCATGTCTTTCATGAATTAAAAATTCTTAATTTTAATATAATACAATTAATCCATTTCCCCCTTGGTTAGTGTTGTCGTTTTTTAAAAATACTGCCTACTCTAAGGTCACAAGGGTCTTTTTCACATTAAATGCTGTTTAGTCTTTCACACTACATTTGCGATCCATTCGGAAGTGATTTTTTTTATTTATCGTATAAGGCAAAAGCAAAAATATTTTCTTATATGAATATCTGACTGACCCAGCAATACACTGACAAGATCAATCGTTCTTTTCTCACTGCACTGCAGTGTCGCCTTTGACATGAACAGGTGACCGACCACTTACATGCAGGTCTGTTTCTTGGACGTTTTTTCCCTGTTCATTGGTCACCCTGACACCAAGTCATTGGTCTATCTTTAGACCGAAGGTAGTCATTGGTCTATCTTTACACCAGTATCACTGTCTTAATTACTAAGGCTTTGCAGTAGTAACATGGTTTTAGGTGATTATAATTTCCAATAAAATGATCGGATGTTAAATGCTCAAAGCCTGAATTGAATCTTCTGGATAATTAAGTTGTAGCGTACACCTATTCCACTGACACAAGGTGGGATGGGCACACTAAACCTTATGCAAGTTTAAAATGTTCTGGCTCGCGATGAAGAGATGAGCATGAAGACTGGTGCTGTGTTTAAGTTTCATAGAGAAGTGGGTCCCTTCTTGCCAGGTCTGGAGCAATTTAACAAAAAATACAGAATTATATACAAGTATATAATCAAGTGCAAAACAGTGTGTGTCAACTAAGTGCTTTGTAAATGAAATAGGATTGTCAGGACACCTGGGTAAAATTTTTTCCAGATAAACATTTTGCTCTCCAGGGAAATCTTGCAAAGTCTGAAGATACTGTCACAACTAGGGGTTGTTATCGGCATCTAGAGAGTAGAGGCCAAGGATGCTGTTAACCATGCTGCTACGCACAGGCGGCTCCCGCACAGAGCACTGTGGTTCAAAACACCAACAGTGCCGAGATGCATCCTGCTTTGGGGCAACAAGAGAAGCACACTTACAAGAAAGAAAAAAATTGAGTTCAAACTAAAAGTTCATTCAAATATAAGGATTATTTATGTTGATGTTACAAAGGACAGAAGCCTAACATGAAAATTTTAAACTTGAAGCCAGGAACTGCACTATTTGAAGCATAGCATCTGTAATTGAATTTTTAGATAAATGTTTAAGTTTTCAGAGAAATTCAGAGGTCAAAGATTGAAGAGGTCAATGAGTAATTTCCAAAGTTTATGAAATGTGGCATTAGTTAACCTGGAAGTTCTTTCAGCTTAAATTCTGCAACTCCTTGATATTTTAAATCACTTGATAATTTCTTGGTAACAACCAAAAGAGTGCGTATGTGTGTATATATGTATGTGTGTGTATACACACACACACACACACACACACACACACACACACATCACAGCCAAGTTTCAGTGCTGGGTCTTAACACTAGCTGTATGCCTTAGGCCTGCACCTGTATCTCCCCAAAACAGACACACATATATTATATACACACATATATATATATATACCCACATATTTTTAATATGTAAAGGTTTAACTTATTTTTAGAGAGAGAAGGGAGAAAGGAGAGAAACACTGATGTGAGAAACAGCGACCAGCTGCCCCCTGTAGGCAACCCACCTGGGGACTGAATCCACAACCGTGGCATGTGCTCTGACCAGGAATCGAACCAGTGACCTTTTGCTCTGCAGTGCGATGCCCAACCAAGCCAAGCCACACAGGTCAGGGTGCAAAAACATATTTTTCAGTGCCAAGTCTAGTATCAATTTCAATAGCTCAGCCTTATTTTAAAAAGTAGCAAATTGATGTTTAAAATGAGTAATTTTACAAATTCAGTCTTCGGGGGTCCTAATCAAGAAAATATGTTTTCTTATCACGTAACAGTCAATCACTTTCTACTGTGATCAGTTAAGAGTTCCTCGGGTAAATTCCCCAAACCTAAATCTTGCCATGACATTCATAATTAGCAGTTACTGCTTCTCAATGCTATCTCTGAAAATTCTGTTAGAAAGCAAGATGATAAAATGAGGGCAGAGCAAAGCAGTGGACCACCTAATTCTCTGTTGTGGGAGCTGTCCTTTGCATTGTAGGGTGTTCATCAGCATCCCTGGTCTCTACCCACTGGACGGCTAGAGCACCTGCACCTCCACAGCTGTGCCAAACAGAAATGTCTCCAGATATTGCCAAATTTACCCTAAGGGGCAAAACTGCCCCGATTCACGTGATCAATAACTACGCACAATAAGGGTTAACCTCACGTTTTTTGAGTTAAAGTGAAATCGCAGAAGTGAACATACCATTTCATATGTATAAAACATCAAAACAGACAAAACCAATTTATGATTAGGAAATCAGGAAAGTGGTTGCCTATGAGAGGGGCCGGTGGGAGGAGAAATACCTGGAAGACAGTAGGCTAAGCCTCTCAGTTACCTGTAGTGTTCTGTCTCGACCTATCAAGCACTTAAGATACGTGCCCTTTTCTGTATGCACACACGCACACACAATCAGCTCTCTGTATCCACGGGTTTCATATCCTCCACCAGAGACTGAGAACACTATTTTAAACACATGCTTAGGAATCCACAGATGCAGAAGGCCAACTGTATGTATTCTTAAGAAACTTGGGCATCTGCAAATTTTGGTAACAGGAGGGCGTCCTGGAACTGAATCCCCCATGGATACCAAGAGATAACTGTACTCTAATACATTTTTGTTAAAATATTATAGGGCTCACTACTTCATTTTTTCATAACGAATAAAAACTTTTTAGCTCCTACTCTCTGAGTCATTATCAAGCTACGAGTTAATTAAGCAAAGAATTTGAAATCGCGTTGTAAATTAAATGAAAAATTTCATCATCTCCACGATTCCTTTTAAAAACAGGCATTTAACTGGAAAAAAAAATCCATTTCAATTAATCCATCTGGTAGAAGTTACTTGTTCTCCTGAGAGTTATCTCTTCCTACTGGCAAAAGCCTCAAGTATGAAAGGTGATTTTTTTTTTAAAAAGTTCAAAAAACTGCAAAAACCAACTATCCCAAATGAGGTATTGCTGTAATGTATCGCAGTTTCCAGCTATTGCTAAAATTGCAGAGATATGGTTTAACAACTGAGGTGTAGTTCTGTCTCAAAATAATATACATTTATTTTACAACCCAGGTGTTAAGAATTATTATTATTTTTTAGTATGTGTACAGATGAGATGCGCAAGCCTTTATTCATAAAGATGTATTATCTTTCTTCTTTTGCTGCATGAACATTATTTCAAAGTAAAACTCAGACTGGTACAAGAGTAAAGAAAAAAATTAGGAAAAGTTAAATCTATAAATTTAGAATTGTCAGTTGTATTAATTTAGAAAAACTTTAAAAAGAATGTTATCATTTCTTAGAAGTCTTAAGAACTACATTTTTAAAATACTGCAATAAAAAAACATAAGTAAATGTATAGTTTATTTTTGGAGAAAGTAAGTAAAACTAAGGTTTTTCCAATAAAGGGGAGAAATAAAAATAGAGATCATACCATGGTTACATGTTAAGTACCACATTCTGTACAATTTGGATGTGCTTAACATGTATTCACTGACAATATGAACTTCTGAGATTTAAAAATCACAAACTCTTGCCAACAATGGTAAATTCATAAGTGTTGAAATAAATACCCTAGAAGTAAGTAAAGTTTAAAAACTGAGGCCTTTGACAGTGTTTACAGATCAACCCAAATGATAAGTACAAACAGTACAGCCCACAAGTTGGCATCAGTACTAGTTTCCACTTAATTTCTTCATAATGTGGCTGTCTGGTGTTGCATTCGTGAAGATACTTCCTACAATCACATGGGTACCCCAGAGATTGTGGCGAATCACTTTACAGCAGCCAAGATCGTCAACAGAGAATCCTAAATGTCGATAGCGTTCATCCGTTTCGAAAAGAGTGTTGTTTGTATATGGTCCAAAAAACTGAAGGAAACAAAAAATGATGTGTTTTCATCAGAAAAAAGAAAATGAAGTAATAATTTCATGCAAAAATAAACATATCTTTTAATACTCCAAATATTTACAAATTCAAATAAGGAGTAACAAAGTCACGTGAAACACTTAAACTGCCCTAATACCTCCTCTCCCCCCAATAACTAACTGGTCATTTTGAAAGTGTGAAATGAGTGATCTAGCCAATTTCATGTAATCTAGAAACAAATGCATAATTATTACACCAACTTTAAAGATGGGATAAACTGTGGACAATCATCTATGGTTTACTGGATCATTTTTAAGAAAAGGAAACTAAAGTCCAGATTCAGTTCTTCATTTTTACTCTATACTCTATCCTACTTGACTTTGAGAATAGAATACATTCTTATGTTAAGATTCAAAACAAATTTATCACTATTTTTAATAAAAAAATAAACCCCAAATTTAAAATGTGACAATGTGGTTCACTTATTTAAAAAATATAACTTTATAAATGTCATTTTCTAAAATGTTACTTTTCTAATATTTCTTACTATCCATACTATCTTAATTAAAAAATAATTTTCCTTTCTTAAACTATTGATAACTAATTTTCACTAACAAATAGCAAATGCACTAATTCAATGTAAATTAAATGATAGAAATAACTTTTTATTATTTTTAATTAAAAAGAATTTAAAGTGCTGGAGAAATTTAGTGTGAGTGACAAAGGTCCCTCCAAGTTGTGAATGCAATCGACTCACAATGGTATTTCTTTTAAAATCTCACAAGGTTTTAAAAGTCTTAAATGATCTATTTTTATTTACCAAGGTTATAGTTGCAAACAATTTCACGATAAAAATCATTCCCACTTTAAATTATATAATATGGGTTTCAAACTCTGTATTTGATTACGTACTGCCAAACCAGATGATGGGTCAATAAAGTCAGCCCAATAGCCTTCGGCTCGAAGAGCGTAGCATATTTCCTTAGCACCACTGATAAACTGCATAGAAAAAGACACAAATAATATTCTCAGATAGCATGGCTACACATTTTTATTTTAAATAAAATTTTAAATAAGTATCTTTTGCTTCAGCTAGAGAACTTAATAAGATCAATAAAAAATTAAAACTGATAAATAAGACTGTAAAGTTAAGATTATTTTAACCATTTTAAAAGATTAATAGTTCATATAACATTTTAATTTCAAAAAGTCTAAATTGTTTATTTTACTCTAAATTATTTATTTTAGGAACCATTTCTAATCAGTTCTATGCTATTAATTCTTCAATTTATCATGAATTATAAGCTATAGTTATTTTATAACACTATGGAAATGTTAGAAATAAAGTAAGAAAAAACAAGATAGTCCTAGTAAAAAGATCCAATTCATTAATTAACTTAAATAAACATTGTTTAAAAACATATACTTGTTTGTGTGCCCTTCAAACACACAGCTATCCATTTATAGATTCAAGGAAATACTTCTGAAAGGGTGTACAGGAATAATAGAATAAATTGACAGATGGGGTACAGGGCTGACAGGATGCTTACTCTTCATTATATACCCATTTCTTCTGTAGCATATAATCATTACACACCATATGCATGTACCACCTATTCAAAATCATGGTCTCACCATCCTAATTCTTATGTCTTTATTAGCTTTATCAGAAGCCTAACCAGTGAAAAAACACAGTGATAAACATTACAACCAGATTAGAATGTTAAAAAAAAAGACAAATCATAAATATTTAAAAACAAGGGGTCGTAGTTCCACTTCCAGCCAAACTTGTCACCTGCTGAAAACTATACAACTGACAAAAATATATGAGGCGACTGCTTTCAGACTCTGAACAACGGTCAGACAAAAACTGTACTACTCTTTGACAGAAGGGAAACAGATGAGGCGATCCCCGTATTTTCCAGTTGTGTCTGGGGATACCTTCTTGTCACAGGGCAAAGAAGTGGAGTCTAAGCAAAAGATGGTTTCACTGAACTGAGGAGGTAGCAAACAAGAATCACAGACTGCTGAAGCACCTGGACTTTGTGGGTAGGTACCGGAGAAGAGAAAGATGAGCCAACAGGGTTCCCAGTAGTCTGCAGGGCAACTGACTGCTTTTAACACCAAGAGCTGAACTGTGCAGGGCAGGTGGTAAGATTCTGCGAGGCCTAGCAGAAAGTGCCAGCTGAGAGCTGAATGGTGACACCGGGGTTTGTGCAGTGTTAGATAACATGGGTTTCTGAGCACCTCTGACTTCAGCAATATGGGCCACATCCTTAGTAAGGGATTAGTAAACTACAACCCAAAGGCCAAATCCAGCTGCTGCCTGTTTGTATAATAAATACAGTTTTAATGGAACATGACCATGACTCTTCGCTCATATACTGTCTATCGTTGCTTTAACAATACAAGGGTAAAATTGACTAGTTCAGGCCCTTTGGCTTACCAAGCCTAACCATGTTTACTCTCTGGCTCTTCTTACAGAAAAAGTTTGTTGATCGTTGCTTAGAGGTATACAGCTTAAACTAACTATTTTCTCCTAATGAAAAACATTAAGATAATACTGTATTCTTTACATTATCTTCATACTTAATATTTATACTTATTGCTGTATTTAATTAATCCTCATAATTCCTAAAAAATAGGGAAAATATTGAATATGATCAAGAAAAGTCATTATCAATTTCATGCAGAGATGTGCCATACCCAAAAACTGTAAGAGCAAAACAATACCAGCAAATGTTTATAAAGGTTAATTAAAAGAATCCCAAATTATTTCAAAAAGAACCACCTCATTTCTCTTAAGATTTCTACTCATCAAGAGCAAACACTGATATCTGCTGGAAAAATATGGAATATATTTAAACCATAAAACATAAAGTACCTACTTGGATCATAAACTATATGCATTTCTAAAATAATTACTAACATATCTAAAATAGAAAAATTGGGTTTTTTTCCTCAGAAAATAAAATAGCTCAGTCATTATAAAATTAAAAATCATAAGATAAAGCATGTTGCCATCTCAAAACCCTGAAACTGGTTACAGACAACTGGCTGCTACAATGGGGTTAATATCAAAGCGGGGTCAGAATCTTTGATCAAAACTTAGAACCACTGATGCAATGCACACACGAGAGCTCTCCAGTGACTTACAGTGATGATAAATATGAATTTTGTAAATACTACCTTGAAAATATTCATTGAGTTAATGCCTATTTAAATTTCGACTCTAAATTTGGATTATCTATCAAATGAGAAACAATATCTTATGCCTTTCTGTAATTTCCTTGCTAAGTAACATATAACTTGCTCATGAGTGTCATCTCTAGCAAAATGCTACATGGGACTTAATACTGTTAAGTGTGTAAAATATTTTTTTAAAAATAAAGAGAACTACCATCTAATCCTAAAGAACATATAATGTAATTCTTAATATCATGTGGCATAAAATTTAGTAAAGGTAATTTCTGACCTATAATTAACTAAGATTCCTCAAGTGAATTATTCCTAACCTGTCATACAGGCACAGAAGTATTTCCATCTTATAGACAACATAAAAAATCTTAAAGAAATAATAATATAATTTATAAATTTCAGACTTTACAGTACCTCTTATCATTTCTCAGGTTGTTAAAAATAAAAAGAAATGCTAATAACTAGGGTAGCATAAGGTAAGAGTATATACATGAAGATAATCTTTTTGGCAAGCAAACTGGCACCACTTAATAAAATTTAAAACTTGAATTCAGTTAAGTCTCAATTTAGGAATCTACAGATACACATATGTGCATAAAAATATACGTACAAATATATTCACTTCCTGTAAAAGCTAAAGTTTGGTTTTCAATTTACAAATTACTAAAATTTTAAGTACCTTAAAAAACTTATGGTTTGCCCATGTAATGTAATAAATGCAGATATTACAAAAAATGAAATATATTTATGTGTAATGTTATGGGAAGATGTCGATATATATTCAGGTTAAAAGGATAGAAAAATATGCGGGTATATAGTTTTTTATGATTATTGTACTGTACACAGTTACCATTTACTCCTTGAAGAAGGCTGGTGTAATTTTCACTTTCTATTTGCTATCCTTTAAAGAGAGAGAGATGGAGAGAGGAAGAAGTGAGATGGACATGAAGAACTTCCTCTTTTGTTTTTATCCTATTTTCCTAAAATAAACCTAAATTCCAAAAAATAAGCAAACTATTAAACAGAATCTTTGTGGTTCAAATTGTGGCATTGTTATTCTTAGAAAGGATGTTTAAGTTCTTTAGTACTGAAATAAGTTAGCAGAAAATAAAGGCTAGAAAAGATACTCAACATTTTAAAGCACCGATTCATTCCTATTTAAATAAGATCATAAAATTAAATTGTCACCAACTGAAATAATTACCTTCTCTAAGAGTATTTCTCTTTCACTTTCTACTTCCTCACTCCAAATAGTCATATCATTCTTAGTTTTCTGTGTTACAGTCAGAATCATTAGTTTGTTGGTAGTTACTTCTGGAAACAGTGATTGAAAATCTATAAATAAAATAAGAATAAAAGTTCCAGGGAGAAAATAATTGGGTTTTTAAAAGAGCAGTGCATAAAAACAATCCTTTATAAAAATGATTAAATTACTGTAATACCAAATTAGATTTATAAATGAATATTATTTTTAAAAAGGATGACTTAAACTCCATCTTGGTTCATTTCCGCTCTTGTTGGATGAACTGAAATATTACTGATAATATAATGTCTTATAACTTTCACATAAAGTTTATTATTAAGACTTCTTATGATTACGTATCAGCCTATGAAAACATAGCTGTAATAATCACTAAAAACTGGAATGACTTCAGGGAAAGCTACAGAAAAAAAGTTACTACAAATTCTACTATTTCTATCTAACAACAACATGAAGCCAGGGGACATTTGACTGCCTCTATCTTGGCCATGCAATCATGTCCCTCCAGACACAGTAAAATATTAAGTAAAACAAAAGCATTACAATTCTTATGGAGCACATTAAAAAATAGTCATATTATCTAAAACACACTCTTGTAAAAATGCAGAAAAGCACGACATACCTCTTCGCAGCAATTCTGGACATGTTTGGATTACACACTCTACTCTGGCACTTTCAAAGTACATTTCTGCACTGTTGACTTCCTGTGCAACAGGTGCATCATTACCCTAAAAGGAAAAAAAATATATAAGTAAACAAAACCTGCAGTTCAAATACCTTGCCTGTTATGAACTTGTCTTCCATAGAAAAATTTTAAAATAATCCTAATGTAACTATTGGTGAGATGATAGTTTTCTTCTTATACACGCAAACTTTGCTCTACGATGAATACAGGATCTGAAAGTTCTAAAAAAAATGAATAAAAAACTAAAATATATAAGTATACTGGCATAATAGGACTTGATATGAGTAGAAGTTGGCTAAGAAACTAAAATACAGTAATTGTGTCATACAATGTTACCTCATAGTTTGTGGTATCTAATGATCTTTTCTTTCATTCTATAATCTGTAAAATGGGGATAATTACATTAACTTACAAAATAGCATGGCTAAATATACAGCCTAGCCTTTCCTATAGGAAGAACTTTGAAGCGTTTATTCAACTGAAATTTACTGGGCATCTACCATACATCAGCAAGAACAGCTACTACAGAGCTAACAAAATCTAGTCTTCACTACTAGGTAAATTAGAGTTAGTAGAAGCACAGTAGCATGAACAAGTAAGTGCAATCCAATAGAAAACATGCAACAGAGTTATGAAGAAAATCTTCCAGCAGTATAGATAGGGAAGAAACTTGCTTTGCTGGGAGAAATCAGGAAAAGTTGAAATCATCATATTTGAGCTACATGTTAATTAATGTATATGTTGATAGGTAAAAAAAAACAGGTGGAATGTATATTAGGAATTCAAGAGGAAAATCAGCTGAGGAAGAAAATAACAACAGTACAAACAGATTCAACAGTCAAAGAGAATGGTGTACTTAAAGTATGTTGTGAATGGGGCGCAGAAAAGTAGGAAGTACTGGGAGGTAAGGTGGGAAAGCCAAGGATCATACTCATGGAAAGGCATTTTATGCATTAAGAAATTCTGACTTTATAAACAATAAAGAATAGCAAGAGAAGATACAAGAAGCTAATGCTAGCATTATTGCGGAGATGTATAGAAATGAGGAGAAGCAAGTATAGATTAGTAAAAGCCAATTTATAATCCTTTACTGCTTTACACACACTTTCACATTTAATCCTCATAATGGTGTGGGCTACATATTATTTTTATCCCCATTTTATATATATAAAGAGATAGAATCTCGGAGAGCTAAGTTATTTTTTTTCAAGGTCAAAAAATTAAGTAGATGGCAGAGCTAACCTTTGAACCTAGACTTATCCTATCTCCACAGTCCATCATACTGCAATGCCTGGAGCAAACTCAGTAAGATAAAGTAGGCTGGAACTCAGGCAACGTTAGTGAAAATTTAAAATGGCACAAATAATGAAAGAGTTACTTCAAAAGAAAGCAATGAGATTTTATTACTATTCATGGGGATATGGTAGAGAGAGGAGTTGAGGTCAGCAGTATAATTTTTATCTTGGGACAGCGGGACAATAGCTAAGTCATTTAAATTACTGATAATGTGGGAGTAAGGATAGGTTTTGAGAAGAAAAAAGAACTAATTCAATATTAGACATGAACAGTCTGGGAACTTGTGAGATATCCAGATAAAATGTTTGACAGGCAGATAGAAATATACAACCAGAAATGTCAGAAATAGAAACACTAAGTTAGAAATTATAGTAACACAGCCTGTGAAAGGAAGCCAAGGGAGTAAGTGACCAGGAAGTAATTTACATGAAAAGATGAAGATCAAAAATGTATGGGAAATGTTATGTGACTGACAGGGGAAGAGCCAAGAAGACTGAGAAGGAATGAACTGAGATAAAAGTCAGGGGAAGTCAGCTGTATCCCAATTTCAGGTTATCTGACATAACCCATTATAGCTCTAAGGGGTTGTTGCTTTTAATGATTGATTAGAAACAGTAAAGGTCAGCCTGAAATTATGTAGAAATGTGAAAAATGACAAGATTCGGGGTTGACAGAAACTCTGAATTACACAGTTTTTCACTTAATTGGGCAGTGAGGCAATATGAGTTTAAAAATTAATTTAAAAAAGTCCCTTGGGAATTAAATTTTAAAAGAATTGTTAAGTTTTTCTTTTTAGACTACTGTGTCTGAAGAATTTCAGAGATCTCAAATTTTTAAGTTTTTAAATGACTAAAGGAGTGTAAAACTAGTAGAAATATGGTCCATATACAAATGATCATTGTAACTTATAAAAGTGAAAAACAGGCAATCTAAATTTCTAGTAATAATGAATGCAATATGAAAAACAAAAAAAAATACTGTATTTTGACATGTATAATGTGCACTTTTCTTGTTCAAATTTTTGAGACAAAAATAACAATGTGTTCATTATACATGGGCAGTACTAATTCCATGTCTATGTTTCAATTCTTTTATTTACTCTTATGCATTAAAAATGTAACTGCAGAAAGAAATAATGATATCTATATGCAAAATAATACCCTGGAATACAATAGTCAATTTTGTTTGTAAATATAAATAAATAAAAAACTGAATTAAAAAATAAAAAAATTTTCCCCCTGAAAGTTTAGGCCAAAAACATGGGTACCTATTATAATCAGGAGCACACTATACACAGCAAAATATGATAAATTTCCAGTAATATAGTAATAAGTGAATTAACTATAATTGAGAAAATAAGCAGTTAACAAAAAAGAAATTTTTGAAGAATTATTTAATTACTAAAAAAGACTGCAATCTGAAATAAAAAGTAGCAAACAGTGTATAGAGAAAGTGCCAACTTTTAAAAATCTATTTATATTGTTTTTGTATATATTGGAGTTAAATATTTTTCTTTACTTTTCAGTGAAAAGTGATGTTTATAGTAATCAGAAATTAACATAGTATTAATTAGAAAAACAGAATATATGATCTTAACAATTTACCTGAAATTCATTCACATACTGTGCCATCACAAACTCATGTCTTTCACTTGATAAAGGTTCTGCTAGAATATCAGGTAAAGTTTTATGAACCTGGCTTTTCTTCTGTGACATGGTCCCATTGATGTGACAATCAAAACCTATGTTCCCAGGAAGCTGGAATCTCTGATCCTGAGGCCCAAATGGTCCCATAACTTCATCAGGCCACACTGTTCGAGAGCCTGAAAAAAAACCACACAAAAATGAGTCATTTTCTCCTTGACAGTCAAGTGTACTGGTAGACTAAAGGAATAAATGCTCCTTTTAAAATCAGGCATTTTCTACCTAAATGATAGATTTTGGAAATTTGCTTTCCTGTGTTAACTAGTTTCAAATTACTTCCTAAATACTAGTCAAAGCAACTCATTGTCAGCTCCCAGGCAAGTCCACTATTAGGAAAAAGGTTTAATAAAGTACTGTAATAAAATCCACATTATATAATGCTTGATAATCATTAAAAAGAATATAGTAAATCTTCACTGATTGAAGGAAGTCCAAGACATATTACATTAAAAGAAAAAGCTAAGCCAAAGAATAACATATGACATTTATTTGACATTTAGAACTTTATACTTGTTTTTTATATATGTCATTTATAAGGCATTCAGAACTTTATGTTTTTAAATTCAGAGGGAAAAAGGTCTACAAGGAAACATACCAAACTTAACAGGGGTTACCCTTGGGGAGGAGCATGGAGCTGCTGTCACCTGGCAGCACAAAACACTAATGGGCTGGGAAAGATACTGTACGAGCCGATATCACATAATGCCCTGCTTATCAGCCACATTAGCTGACATGGATTAAAAAGAAGAGACCACATTACTTTATTCACTTTTTAAAAATACCCTAACTCATAAAAAATTTTAAAAGATCCAGAAAAGAATAAAGTAGAAAACCAAATAAAGAAATACTAAAGAGTAGGTTTTTGTTTACAAAAAGGGACAACTGCTGAAGACATCAGTTGGCAATAAAAATATTTTTTAATACTCTGCCCAGACTGAGTGACTAAAAATGGCCATGTCGACACTGCTGCTCCATCACTAGACTGTGTCACCATATCCCTCCTCTGCACCTATGACAAACACCATCCAATAACCATGAAACTCTTTCCTCCTAAATTATGGGACACGGTCTCATAATTCTCAGCCCGAACACCCTAGAGTCCAATACTTCTCACACTTTTAAGTATTTAAGAATCATTGGAGATCTTGTAAAAATTCAGATTCTGACGTAGAAGGTCTGGAGTCGGGCTCACTCAAGATTCTTCATTTCTAACAAGTTCCCAGATGGTATTGATGCTATTAGTCTGAAGACTTATCTTGAGTAGTGAAGCTGGCAGATACTGATGACTGGAGTCAGTTCACTGAGTAAAACCTATTAGCCATTTTTGAACAAGATGGGTTTTAAACACTGTCCAGATCTAACAGTCTCTCGAAAGAAATAAATATCCCACATTAACAGTGAAGTTGCACATAATTTCATGCTGATTGGTAATTTAGGTTTTCTCTTCAGGAATAGCCTGTTCATACAATTTTTAAAATTTTTGTTTGTTTTTCTACAGGGTTGTCTTTTTCTTAATGGTCTATAAATTTTTAAAATATATTCAGGATACAAACCCTTTATATATTCTGAATGACCAATCTTTCCTTTATGTTACATATATGTTTAGTCTTCCGATGAGTAATCAGAGATGGAGTTATAAAACTGAGGCAGGAAAACTGGGGAAGGCTTTGCATGCCCAAGTAAACTTGCATTACATCATAAGTAATGTGTTGTAAAAACCAAAGATTCTATGGCCGATTCCTTTAGGATACATTAGGTTAAGTTCCTAGGAGCTCTCCCTTAATATTTTAATGTGCATTATAAACCTCCAAGATAGGCATGTGGCATATAACATTTCTCAAATTTACTAATGACCTAACTAAAAATTTTTTTTAGACCGTGAAAAATTTTCACAGCTTGGGGACTGTCTGGGAACTGCTATTCAAAGTACTGGGAGATAACTAAGATTTATCAAGGAAGTAACATAATTATGATGTCTCAGAATGATTAATGTAATAGTGGAGAGTGCAAGATGGATTAGAAGAAGCAGAATTTGTAGATAGTGGGTAAGTTACTGAGTCAATAAACATACATAAAAAGCGCCAACTATATTTAGAAAATTCAGCAAAGAATAGCAAAAAGTAGTAACAGTTCAATAGGATTAAAGCATTTGTTTCAGGGAGGACTATATACACTGAAGGTAGAGAGAAACTAAAGTTGAAGAAAGTAAGCTTCATTCTTTCTTTTTAATATTGTAGATTTCTGATATAAATATTTATGCAGAACTTTGAAGTGTATATACAATGGGTTAATCTGAACTTTAGAAAATTTGTAAGACCTCAAGTAGAAACATAGAAAACACAACTCAATGTTTTGGAAAAATTGTAGGTAAAGCAGTAACTTTTACTTACATACATCAGGAGGTGCAGTGGCCACATGAGACTCATCAGAACCTGAAGATCCAGCAGTTGAAAAGGCTTTGGAATTGACAACTCTTTTCACTAGGGAATAAAATCCCGGAAGATAGGAAACCAACCTGGCTCTGTTACAGAGCACCTAAAAATGACAAAATTTTAAATTATTTTTTATGGATATAAATGTTATACTTACACAGACCACCTCTGACAAATCATCACACTGTAATATATCTTTTAAAATCCATATTTATTTCACTACTACTTACCTTATGAAAAGCATTATGTATATTTATAACTTAAAAAAGAAACACAAATATAAAAAACAAACAAGCAACAAGTTATTTGGATAAAAGTGTACTGCTTTTCCAATAAAGGCCAGAATTAAGAGTGCCACACTAGAGAGAATGGGAACCTCTAAAAATTGCCCTATGTAGCAGCACTAAAAAGGCAGCCCAATAATAAGATGCTTCTATTCTCAAAATACAGAACTTTCCAAACCTTTCCTACGATCAAAACCTGTTTATTTTCTAACTCTTCTCTTCTTTTACTGCTATAAATTGTGTGCATTATCTCCCATGCCATCTTTCCTCTTGGTTTTATGGCAATGTCCACTTTCTTTCACTTTAGCACATACCTATGTGGTACAGTTTCCGCTTCTAAGGTTGATTTCTAGACTCTGACTTGTTACGATGAATGATTGTATAAATGCATACACAAATTACATGGGTGACAATAATTTAATGCAGAGGCTGGGGAAACCATAGTCAAATACAGTCTGCCGTTTTATTGTAACAGTCACACCCATTTATTTACGTATTGTGTATGGCTACTTTCACACCATAATGAGTTAAGTAGTTGTGCATTCTATGGCCCACAAGTCTAAACTATTTACTGTCTAGCCCTTTACATTAAAAAAAAAATTGCCAACTCTTAATTTAGTGAAAAAGTATATGAACAAATATTATGTCATCTGTAAAATGCTAAAGATCCATTAAAAATGCTAAAATTAAAAAATCCTCGAAGCAGTAGACAAAAGTTTCAGTATTTGTAGAAATAGTAGAAATTTGCTGGGGAAAGTGACATTTCGGTGACTTTCAGAAACAAAGGCATGAACCCACAAGGGTGTATTCAGTGAGGGACAAGCTCAGTGAGGGAGGGTATAAGGGAGTGCAGTTAAAAACAATCTTGAAAGTTAACTTACAAAAGACTTTGTATTTGACACAGACAATAAAGGGCCTGTCACATCAAGAAAATAAGTCAGAATTTTATTTTGTAGGCAGGGAATGGAGTAAACTGATAAAAATATGGGATATTTTTAGGAATGTACCATAGATTGGAGTGGGGGTTAGAAAGGTGGTATGAAAACTAGTAACCAGGATGTTGAAATAGTGTAGCCTTTTGATACTTTAGAATGAATCATATTTTTTCCCTTTCAGGCACTATCGTGAAATCTAGCCCATCTGTTCTTCCTTATTTTATTTCTCATGGTAAGTATAAGAGAACGTCTTAACTGGTATTACTACCTCTCTGGCATAGTTTCTTACTAATTTTACCTTCCCCTCCCTTACTTTACTCTTTAGTCACGTGAAAATATCTATTTGCCATATAGAAACATTTCCCATATCTCTGCCTCACATTTCACATTTTCTCTGCCTTCTTTTAGACTGTCAAAACTGCCCCCTCCTCCCCCCCCCAACATACCCTTTTCCCTAACATTCTAAGCCTTAAATTTTCCAAGTCATTCTTAAAGACCTGGAACAGAACCTCCTTTATGTGACTCCTACACATGAGGCATGCTTCCAGAATGTTCTGCCCACCTGAAAAAAAATCTGTACCCAACCTGCCCAAAGAGACAAACTGGTAAGTATTAGGCTTTTTACTTATTAGACAAACTGGACTTTTAGGTATTTCTATAATACTATAAATTTACTTTTACAATTGAGGACATTTAACAGACTGAATATGCCTCAGGATCTAAAAAAGCAATTTAAAAATTTGAATTTTAAAAATATTTGAACAAAGCTTCAAAATAATAAGAGTCTCCATAAGAGATTAGTTGAAAGGGACGATATTAAATAATCAAAAGTGTTAAGTTATTCTAGGCCAGGTCCTGTGCTAAGTGCTTTACATGTACTGTTTTACTTAATGTTAACGACAATTCTATATACCATTATTTACATTACTTTAAGTACGATTATTAAAATATTATTTGTGATCCTTTACATTCACACTGCTTCATAAACAAAAATAAATGGAAAAGATTATCTAAATTATTTTAGAAATTACCTAATATTATTAACAATTATTTAAAATATTTTTCCCTTTGTAAAAAATATTTAATTTATTTATTTTTAGAGAGAGGGGAAGGGAAGGAGAAAGAATGGGAGAGAAACATCAATGTCTGGTTGCCTCTCCGTGTCCCCTACTGGGGACCTTGCCTGAAACCCAGGTATGTGCCCTGACTGGGAATCAAACCAGCGACCCTTTGCTTCACAGGCCCGTGCTCAATCCACTGAGCTACACCAGCCAGGGCCTTTCCTTTCCCTTTTACAGCTGTGCCACTGAGTTATAACTCAGTGTGTGTCCTTACACACTGGGCTTAAGACTCATGGCTCTTGTTTTAATATTGTACTTCTTAAACCCAACTATAAATATTTTATTTATTTATCTTTAGAGAGGGGGAGACAGGGAGAGAACCATCAATGTACAGTTGTCTCTCATGTTATCCCTACTGGGGGACCTGGCCTGCAACCCGGGCATGTGCCCAGAGTGGGAATTGAACCCATGACCCTTTGGTTCGCAGACCGGCGCTCAATCAACTGAATCACATCAGCCAGGGCTAACAATTATTTTAGCCTTTAAATATCAAGGCTAGCAGTCTCTATTTTAATTTTTCTTAATGGTATACTTTTAACAAGTTATATAATAAAATGCGAGTTTCGTTTCTAGCCTAGCAAATCTAATCATCAAATTTCATTTTATTGGCAAAAGAAGCCAGTATTTAATTTGTCCACTGAAAGACACAGCTTATGACAGTACTAGCTTGTTTTAAACATTTACCCTATAACCTGTAGGATTCTCAAATCTATTGTGGAACAGAAATATTTTGTGAAAACTTGATAGATTTTATGACATTGGGTCAGCTGGTAAATACAATAATTGAAAAGTTCTAGCCAATAAAATATTCCTCAAATTAAGATAGCCTGTTTATTTTAGTTTTAGGGTAAGTATGTATGTTATACAAGACTAACTTCAAGTAAACCTAGGACTCTAGACTTGTGAAGATGAAAATCTAAGATTTAACTTGGTCTCTACCAAAGACTGAAATCTGGTCATCTATAAAAACACATCTGTACACATACACAGACATTTTTGTGTGGTCCACAGTGCTACAAGAAATTTTAATTGGATATCATTGAGGAATTGAGAGATTTCACACAAAAGGTCCAGAGTTTTGGCTCTTTTCGAAGATCTGGAAGCACTGGATTAACATTCCCAAAAGGCATTAATTAGCAACAAATCACTGTAAGGAAAGTGTGCACCCTATATATAAGAAATGGGCATTTCAGTTTGTCAAAATCCCCACCAAGGCCCCTTAATTTAACCTGTCTAGCCACCTAAGTATGGTCATTTATGATCTTTGCTATGTATGCTAACTAAATTGTTGAAGACACACATATCTGCATATTTCATTAGTAACATCCATTCAGGGTTTACAATGCATATAAACTAACATAGTTTTTGAAAGTATATTTGAATATTAAAAGTAAATTTTATTTAATATAACCTTCTTTCTAGCAATAAGAGGATTTCTAAAGTAGCTTTCAAATTATTTCTCCTACTGAACTAATTTATAAAGCCAGGTCAAATATTAGCATTCTATTGTAATTAATGTCTCTCCTTTGAGAGTATCATATGCTTCTTTACAATGTTCCCTTTCTGTGGTTATGGCCAGGTAAAAATTCACCTTAAAATGTGTCCACGACTAGTGGTCTACTTTTATAACTTGTCCCTTTAGTCATTTCATTAGATTCTCACTTAACATATCAGGTTCAATTTCAGAAATACTGTACTATCCTGGGCAACTGTCCATACTAATCTTCCTAACACACAGCTCTGACTAAATCACCATGGTTTAAAGAATAAAGTCTAAATTACTGAGTTTGGCATTCTAATCTCTAATACTTGATCAGAATTCCACAAACCAAAGTTATTTCCAATAATTACATTCACATACTTTATACTCAGGAAGACAAACCTGGCTTCCTGATTTCTGAAAGGGGGGTATCTTTGAATACACCTCCTATTCTTCTCACCTAAACCTTAGATTATCTAATTCTCATTTGTCTTTCAAACTCAAATTAAATGCTTCTCAGATTAAGTGATCCCAAGTCCCTATTTTCCCCTCTCCACAAAGCTGAAACTGCACTGTACCTTTGTGTAGCTTTAAAAAAAATTACTTCCTACTTTTACTGTAGCTGTTTTCATTTATGTCTTATGTCCCCTACTAAATGATCTCCTTATGCTAGGATGTGTCTGGTTAATCACTGGCCAGTTGCAGCCGATAAATATCTCTGGCTTATGTCAAAAATATCTCTTGATCTTATTTTGTAGGATTTGGAACATTATTTGCTATACTAAAACTGCTACAAAACATTCAGTTTAGCTAATAAAGAAATTTTAAAAAGCTTAAAAACACATCCTAAATATTTACTGATATGATGTCTTTTAAAAAATACTGAAAGGATGCTGGCTCTGAATGTACTTCTAAAACTGAATTTGTAGAATTAAGTACATGACTATTAAAAAGAACGTGTTCAAACTACCTTCAAAGCATACCAACATTAATTTCGCACCCCTTGCTGCCCTTGACTGTTCTGATACATTAAGGCAGAGATTTTCAACCCTTCTTCATCCCATGGCTAATAAACTAATTACTAAAATTCTGCAGCACACCAAAAAAATAAATTTTTTGCTGAGTAAAGAAAAATAGGTATAACTTTTCTTCCTTCACACCCAACAGCTATTGTTGTGTCGGCCGTTGTAATTTTTTTAAATTTGACAATCTACGGGAAAAGAGGTCACTTCTCCAGACTAAACAGTCATACTGCATGTGTTAAAAATTCTTGCGACACACCTGTTGAAAATCGTTGCACTAAGTCTAAACAGGAAAAACATTATGGCACCAATACCATCACAAACCCGTCCCTCCAACGTTTCCTAACGAGTTCCCAAACTAGTATTTTACTGTACTGCCTCTTAAGAAACTATTTTACTCACATTGGCCATTTCTAGAGGAGAGGGCAGAAGCAAAATATTTTTCTTTTCGTAGTTACTTACTCCTGGAAGAAGACAAAAACAGGCTAGTGACGGATTAAGCTTTAACCAAAGACAGCTAGGGAAAGTCTACCCTCTCCTACTCGTGTCCCTCCACGACGACAGGACCAAAGTCGAAGCTCTGCCCCTAACCCGAGGAGGCCCGAACTCGCCCCCAGCCCTACCGGGCACCCTGCCCAGGGGCGGCCGGGCGGCTCCAAACTCCGGTGTGTGCCCGCTGAACACAACACGGACCAGAGCAGGGAGGGAAATGGGGAGCGGCGGCCGAGACAGAGGCCAGAGGGTCGAGGCAAGTTTTTCAACACAAGTCAGGGCTGCCTGACAACAGCTCCAAATAAAGGTTCGAGTTGAACGGAAGACCAAAGCGAAAAGAGCCTGAAGCCAGAGTGACAGGATGACTGGGGACAGAAAGACATGGCCCTGTGGGAATAGGGGCAATATCGAGAGGTGTAGCCCGAGGATGGGAGAATTTGCAGGGACTATCGAGGGCGGGAACCATCCATACCAGCCACCTCCGTCGCCTCCAGCTGTCTGGGAACCTGACTCTTCCCGCCGCGATAATGGCGACGGCTGAGGCTGCGGCGGCGGAGCCTACGCTGGCAGTGACCAGGCTAAAGAAGTCGCTTCCGAGGGTATCGATGGGAAGGACCGTCGAACTGACGATGCGCACGCGCACTGTAGACCGGCCAACAACGTGGGAGGAGAAACAGTGGGGCAAGGGTGACTTGGGAGAATGGTGGGTTCCTGACATGTCTTAGGCGGTCATAACATTTCATAAATTATTTTATTTCTATTTCGTAGGTTTCCCTCATCCCAAGATTTTCTTACTGATCCCCAGGATGTACAGTCTTCTTTGTATCTTAGTTTATTATTCACGACTCACTGTTTTTGAGTATAGGGCACTTCTGTTTTTCATGTACCAGCCCTTGACTTAATTACATATACTATATAATTTTTATTTATCATTTTTAAAAATTAACTGAAGCCATAATTTATTCATAGTTATATTCTAGTTGTGTCATTTTGGACAAGTTACTTGGTCTCTTTTAGTTTTAATTCTAAAACAGGAAAAATAATAGTGCCCACCTCATAGATGGTTTGTGGTGATTAAATCAGTTGCTATATAGGTAATACTTCTATAGTAATATGTAAACATTTGTGTGCATACAAGCACACACAGCCACACAGTGCAGAGTTTGGGAGTCAAAGAGGGCCTGTGAAAAGAGCCACTGATCTCAGTGCTGAAGTTACTTACAACTCATTATTTTTTATGCCTCATGATTTCTCTTCCAATTTGGCTGCACTTTCCCAGGCTCTATAACAAGATTTCTGGTTCAATGATGATTGTAAGCTTTGTGAGATCTGGAGCTGTGAGCATTCATATTGGCTTTATTAGGTACAAGTGGGAGTTAAAGGGAGTCAGTGAGCAACGGTATGGCAGGAGGCTGTCAGGAATCACTTCATAGCAGAGGTAATGCTTGAACTGTGTTTGGAAAGATGAGTAGGTATTTGCTTGAATGGCAGGAAAAAATGTAGAGGACATTTCAGGCAGAGAAAGCAGTGCAAACGGAGAGACAGGGAATCCAAAACACACTGGGCAGTGGGGGAGACCCACAAGTAATCAAGAGATTAAGTTGGAGGTTGACAGGGGCAGATCACAGTCAGCCATCGGCACTAAGGTAGATGTGATCCCTGAAGCACTAAGAGATAACTGGGCAGATTTAAGCCAAGTCATGGCATTATCAGATTTGTGTCTTGGGAAAATCCTCAGGCATCAGTGTATAGGATAGATTGGAAGGGAGTGGGATAGACATTTGCTCAACTGGTTAGGAAACTATTGCTGTGTCCATGAGAAAGAACATGAGAGGCTGAACTAAGGGCAGGAGAACACTGAGGAATCAACAGGTTGTAGCTACCCATACGTTGTGGATGAGGAAAAGGAGACAAGTTGAAGCTGATCCTGTTTTTGACTTCAGATAATTGGTGAATGGAGTTGCTTTTGCTGAGATTAGGAATCCAGTAATATTTATATCTGTGAAATGTATGCTAGGTGGCAACACTTGGATAGGGATTTTCTCATCATCTATTTTAATTCTCATGATAATTCAGAAGATGTAAGTATAATTATCCTCCTGTTAAATATGAAGAAATTAAAACACAGAAGGTTTATTATTGAAGTTTTCAGGGATGGATTTAAATCTAGGTTTATTAGGTTCAAAAACTGTGTTCTCTTTCCCATAGGTTCTCTTTCCCAGGACAAGAACAAGTTTTAGGAGAAAGAGAATGAATTTGGTTTGGGATATTTGGGCTTTTAAGGTGTTTGAAGGGCGTTCCTGTGGAGTTGTTAGTGTTAGGGGCTAAGGGAAATAGTCTTAAGAAAACTAAGTTGTTTGTTCAACCTTAGCTGCTTGCTCAAGCTTGGGTGGGGGGACTGCACCCCCATCCCCGGGCAAATGTTCCAGGAAGTTAAGCAGATAGCTTCTTGGAACATCCGTTGGGGAGGGAAATTTTTACCCGTGACATGAGCCCCTAGGCCAATGGCTAACCTAAGCACGAGCTGTTCGTGAGCCCTGCCAGCCAATCATCAGCAAGATCACAAGCCCTAGCACAAGCCCCTGAGCCAGTAGCTAACTGCCACCTTCTGCTTCCGGAAGTTGCTTGCTTGCCCGCTTCTATAAGAATCCTAGCCTGTAAGCGCTTGGCGCGACTCTCATTTGCAGCCATTCTGGCACTCGTGTGTCTCCGGAGGCACCCCGAGAGTTCACCCCTGCACAGGTAAAACTTTGAAACTTTGGCCAATAAAACACCTCTGACTACCCAGCAGTCTCCAACCCTTCTTGCTCACAAGGACGGGATGTAACATTAGTACCATTTGAAAGTAGGCTTATTGTTCAGAAAAGACGTATTTGAGGGTCATTGGCATATAGGTAATAGTTAAAGCTAAGAAACCACTTAACCTGGAGTTCAACACTGGGCTTTACGGAAAGGGAAGAAGGCCTCTAAAATTCCTTAAAATATACGTAAATTTTTGTATATGTGTAAGTGGATCCATTCCCCCCCCCCCCCGCCCCGGGAGAGGGTGCACAGTTTCTTCAGATTCTTCAAGGAGTTCATGACTCTGAAAAGACCAGGAAGCACTAGTGTGGGGTATAGAAGAAAAAGGGTAAACGTCAGAACGCTAGGGAATATTAGCTAGAGGGATAACAGAAGGAAGACTAGCATTGGGGACTGAGAAGTTTCAGTCTGAGGATGCGAGGGAATCAGGGAAGAGAGGAGTATTCCAGACAACAAGATGATAACTGCTTGATATTATTAGACACTACAAAAAAGGTCCTACTGAGAACCAGGAAACAGTCCATTGCACTTGAATTAATAGGGTCATGCTGTCTTTGCCAGAGGAGTTTCAGTGGAGTGGGGTGGGGCAGAATTTTCCTTACTGTGGCTACTCAAAGGCTGAAGCACAAACCTCTTGAGGACAGAGACTGTTCACTGTGTTTCTAGGACTTCACTGTATTCCTGTCACAGAGAGGTGATCAATAAATATTTGTTAAAGGTTGAACACATGAAGAAGTGGTGACAATTAACAATAAGCTACAATTAATAACGGCTGCTTTTCATTGTTCTATTTCCGGGCTCCATGTTTAATGCCTGTCAACGCAGCAACTTGCCTGGGAAAGCAGCAGTGTGTACATTGCCTAAATGAAGAAAATGAGATTCAGAGATGCTAAGAAAACTGCCTGATGCCATACAACCACGTGAAGTGAAGACTGTGAGATTTAAACCTGGGTTTGTGTGGCCCCCAAATCTCTATTCCTCCCACAACGATAACACCAAGGAGAAGAGGGAGGTAAGTAGCTGTCTCTCCACTATTATTTCCATTTCGCCTTATCTGTTTGTTTTCTTTTCTTCACTCTCTCTTGGATTGTTCTTTTTCTTCAGAGACAAAACAGAACTGCAGGGACTGACCCAAGTACCAGAGTAGGAGGTTATTCGGAGGCCCACGTGCAGTCCTTGGGGCTTCCTCTCCCCTCTCGCTCTCCCAGCCTAGCTACCTGCATTCATACTTTTTGATAAACATATGGCTTTCTTTTTATTCTGGAAAACACTAACTCTCAATAACAAAGGACACATACTTAGGCAAAGGATGGAATATATAGTCATCACTAAGTGCTCACAAGGACTGGTGTTTTGCTGCTAGCTCTTTCAGTAAAGACAATAGAATCATAATTCCAAAAGAGATAAGATGGGATATTTTCTGCTCAACTGAGCATATCTAAAGCACATTACAAGGTTTGAGAGAATATTCTCTGTTATAAGAAAGGTTGAATGGAACTATTACCTGGTTGCAAGAAATAGCATGTAAAAGAAGGATAATAATAGAAATTGGAAAAGGATATGGATAAAAGAGAAAGTACAAGAACACTTCGTTTTTATTCTTTGACTTGGTCACAGAACTCACCTGTTGAGAACACATCTACTTAAGTTGCCTGGATCAATGATGCAATAGTTCTTTACTATTTCATCTTAAGAAAGGCATATGTTTTGGCCATTTCTAGAAAATTCAAGATTTTTCTGGAAAGCCCTTGTAGGCTCTAGGCTAGATGGGAAAGTTATAGAGAATGTATATGTTTTATGTCTCTAACTCTCTTTCTGTCTCTTCACTGTGCAGTTTTGGAACTAGAAGGAGAAAAAAAGTAAATTTCCAAAGTGAAACAATTCTAAAGCCACTCAAATGTTGGTGTGTGCACAATTTGATGCATTTCTGACACGACCCTCTCTTTTCAATTATATTTTATGCGGCAAAGAATACTATTAAAATGTATAGACTATGCAGAGGACAGAATAGAAGAGGAACCCTCAATTTAATATATTGGTTTTTAGTTTGTGATTTGTAAGTCTATCACTGGACTTCAATGGTGATATTAGATATGACACTGCTCTTCTCTGTCTCTCTTCTCCTCATTACAATGGAGACAATGATATTATCTCTTCATGTTATAAAATATCTATGTAAAGAATTTAACACACTGCATGGCACTTAGTGAGTGTGCAGTGTTAGCTAGCATCTTCATAATCATCACGAACATCATCATCGTCATCATCATCACTGAACTCCATTCTTGTGGGGAGGTGATCTTGCTGTGAGGACTTTGGTGCCCATATACTTACCCAGTGCTTATGGGGGTGATACTGCCCTGGGCCCCCTGTCTCTTTGGCATAGGAAACAGTTTGGTCTAGAAAGGAACAGAGGTGGGTTTAGGCGGAACTTTCAGAGGATGTCAGGCTGCTTTGTCCTGAGCTACTTCTTTTACGGTGGCTGTGACTGCCTTTCAGGACTCTTGTAGACAGAGCAGGGGGGGGGGTGAGGAGAAGGGTTAAACAAAGCCAGTGTGAGCACTCAGGGAGAAACATGTATACAGTCAAGTTTTGTAGACTCGGAGTTCAAACTGCGGTGATCCGGCTACATAAAGAAGTGGAAATGCTTAGGTTTTAGATGGGGGTGTGAAGCTGCCTGAGAGCTTGGAAGAAATGCAGAGTCTTTGGCTCCATCCCCAACCTCTTGCCCCAGAATGTGTGTTTTAACAAGGT